GTTGCTCAGGCTAAGGCCTGAGGGTTCCTGGAGCCCAGGCGTTTCTAGATCAGCAACATAGCAAAGAAAATAAAATAGGGGAAGGGTGAGTTGATCCCCTGGGAAGACATTTGACTGCTCCATGTTCTAGGAACGCGAGCTGATTATGTCAGAGCTACATTCTGCTCATGTCCTGAGAATTTGAGTGAGGCTGCAGATAGGCATAATAGACTAGTTTGTTTCTCAGAGGAAATTAGCAACCAGCATCCAAGCTGTGGCACGGTTACTGCTACTCCTCTTGTCCGGGTTTCTGATGGCAGAGAACCGACAGTGGAGCAGAAAGATATTTAAAAAAAAAAAAAAGTTCAGTTTGGTGACAAGAAAGTATCTTCGTTACTTGTATTATGAATAATAAAGACCCAGAGACAGATATTGGGGTTCAAGCTGAAGATCAGAGAAGTAAAGCAGTCAGTCACTAGAGAGTTCTCACCTCTACCAATGCTCAGGCCAAAGGGGTGATCCACTGAACCTCAGATTCCATCTTCAGACTGCACTGCTCTCCACCAACCTCGGAATCCTAGACTGCCAGCTCCCCTCAACGTGGCTGGAGACTAGTTGCCACATGTGTCCCTTTGTTTCTTCCTCATATTCCTCTCTAGTGCTGGGATTAAAGGCGTGTGATCCCAAGTGCTGGGATCTCTGTTCGAGCTGTTTCTCTTTTAGACTGATTTACTCTTGTGTAGCCCTGGATGTCCTTGAACTCACAGACATCCATCTATCTCTGTCTTCTCAGTCCTGGGATTAAAGGTGTGTACCACCACTGCCTGGCCTCTATGGCTTGTGGCTGGCTTTGCATTCTGAACCCTCAGGAGAGCTTTACCAAATCATAAGGAATATATCACCACGGTTACTGTTCTATCGCTTATAAAGGAAAGCATTTAGTTGGGAACGTCTAGTTCAGAGGGTGAGTCCATGACTGTCACGGCAGGAAGCATGGCATCTGGCAGAGAGAAAAGGAGACTGGGCCCGTGTGCTTTTTAAATCTCAAAGGCCACCCTGGTAACATGCCTGTCTAACAAGGCCACACCTCCTAACCCTTCCCCAAACTAGGAACCGAGCATTCAAGTATATGAGCCTATGGGGGCTATTTGCATTCAGACCACCACAGGATACAGGAGTAAATCAGTTGATGACAAGGAAGGTGCAGAGAAAATGGCTGCAGTTACAGGAGTGAGTCCACTTGAGGGGGGAATCTTGCACTTGAGAGTGGGACACCAGGAAACGTGCCTCCCTGAAGACTCCAACCTGTCAGAATCACAAACTCATTTGAAAGGAGAAAGACTGAATGGAGAATGCCACTGGGGAACTTGCTTGACGCAAAACGGGTCTGGTCGCTCCTAAGCCTAGCCACCAAGGTACACAGAGACCCTACAGCCACGGCGGCAGAGAGCCACATGGTACCTTGAGCTTGCAGCAGAACTTGATAGCATCGCCCACCATACTGGTTTTCTGAGCATGCAAAGGTGCGTGAATTACAGGGTTGGGAAGGCTTGTGCCGATGTTCCGGAAAGCCACTGAGGCCAGCAAGTGTGTTACAGGCTTGGAGTCCCTGCAAGAAGCCTGTGAAACACCGCTGTGTGACCAGGGTGGTGGAGGAGTCGCTAGGCCCACGAGCTGTCGTCTGCCAAGTAGAAGAATAAAATTACCCAAGCTGTTTGAGTTGAGCGGATGCTGGCAGGAGCCCCAAATGCAGGCCATGGACCTGGAGGGCTTGGTGCTTGCCTAGCTGAGCTCTAGTCTTCCTTTGGTCCACTTCTAGCTATGCCCTCCTCCCCCACCCCCTCTTTGGAATAGGAATGTTAACTGTTCACTATTGTGTAAGTAAAACCTTGTAACTGTTATTTTCTAGGGCTGACAGCTAAGAGAGTTCCTGAGTGCCAGGAAAAAAACAAAACAAACAAACAAACAAAAAATAAAACTGCAGTTGAACACTTTTGATCAATTAGAAACTGTTAAGATTTTAGTTAGAGACTTCGAGAGATGGCCTAAATGCATTTTGTATTATGAGATTGACGGGAGACTTTAGAGCCCAGAAGTGGATGGCTGTGGTTAACAGTGACATGTTTGGGGCATCAAACTGACAGGGGGTGAACTTGTGATGGTTGATCTTCAGTGTCAACTCAGTTGGCTTTGGAACCACTCAGGAGACACACCTCTGCCCATGTCTGTGAGGAGTTTCCAAAGAGGCTTCACTGAGGAAGGGGTACTCACCCTGAATGTTGGTGGCACCATCCCTTGGACACCATCCCATGAAATAAAAAGAGAAGAGGAGGCCAGCCAAGCACAGACATCCACCTCTGTAGACACTGTGTGAGCAGCTTTCACACACTCCTCTGCAATGCCTTCTCATCATGACGTCACAGAAAAAGATAATACAGAAAGCTGATACCGAGAGTAGGGAAAACCCTTCCTCCCTTAAGTTGTTCTTGTCAGAGAATAACTAATACTCATATATCCTCCTATGTGCCTGAGTTATCTCCAGCTTACTTACAAAATCTAATTGTTGTATTGCTGTTTCCTCTAAATTGCCATCACTGTTGCTCTCCTAAATTATGTTTGAGTGGGTGGGTGAGTGGGTGTGTAGTTGGATGGGTGTGTAGCTGGGTGGGTGTGTAGCTGGGTGGGTGTGTAGCTGGGTGGGTGTGTAGTTGGGTGGGTGTATAGCTGGGTGGGTGTGTAGCTGGGTGGGTGTTTAGCTGGGTGGGTGTGTAGCTGGGTGGGTGTTTAGTTGGGTGGGTGTGTAGTTGGGTGGGTATGTAGCTGGGTGGGTGTTTAGTTGGGTGGGTGTGTAGTTGGGTGGGTGTGTAGCTGGGTGGGTGTGTAGTTGGGTGGGTGTATAGCTGGGTTGGTGTGTAGTTGGGTAGGTGTGCTCACAGAGGGCACACACGTGGAACTCCAAGACAGCTCATGGGAGTTGGTGTTCTCTTTTCACCATGGGAGGGAGACCCAGGGCTTGAACTCCAGTCATCAGACTGGCAACATGAGCCTTTAGCAGACGAGGCATTTCATCAGCCTACACATTGCTTCCTCAAGTCAGATTAACTGATCACCTTCATACGATTGGAGCTGTTAACACTCCCTTGTGGCAGGAAGGGGAGGCTCCTCACCCTGAGGTGATGTGTGGTGACTGAACTAGGAAGTGGGCCTCCTCGGTGGTGTGACTGCCAGTAAGCTGCGCAGCAGTCGTCTGAGATGTAGCCCTCCTGAGCCACGCTGGGGAGGGTCTTTCAATGGCCGGTCTGCCTGAACCACCTGTGTTCCTGCAGGTTGTCTTTCTCTAAGGCTCCTGTGAGTAACCCCAGAAAACTCACTGGCTCCCCAAGCTGAACTGGGATGGAATTCTTTCTTTGGTGCTGGAGTCCTTTCTGGGGTGAAGAGACATTTCTGTGTATCTGTCTCCTCAGGAAGTCGCATGCCCCTAATACAGCAATGTATTTACAAAGTTATCAAGACCAGGCTCTTTATAGGCTAATGTCTGAGGAAATAAGTCAGTTCTCATTCAGGCAGTGTTTCTCCAGAACATTCCCATCCCCTTCCCTCTACCAGCATGGAACCTGCAGATACAAATGCACAGATGCAGGACTGACTCTCCAGTTTGTTCCCGTGTCTTTTTCACCCTTCTTCTCAAGCAACATTGGTATTTTACGGTTATAAGTTCTCCTCAGAACAGGTTGCCTCAACAATTTTGACACTAAGGATTAGTTCACTGCCACCAGTTTAGGCAATGGGGTTGCCTAGAAATATGTTCAATTTCTAAACATTTTTATGTTAATCTCCCTTAAGAGTCTGCATCCTTTGAGCAGGGACCCCCATGACAGCTACTTAGTGTTACCTGTGTAAACTCATCCCCAATAAAACACCTATTTATCATTTATCTTGGGTCTGGTGAACTCATTTAAATCTCGCCTTCACTTATGTCCCTTAAACTAGTGTTTTGAATTTTTCATTGTGCTGTCACAGCAGAGCACTGTGACATCACAACTGAGCATTGTGATGTCACAATTCATGTTTTGAACGCATAATACTGTACTGTAATAAAACAATGGAACATCAAGATATGGCAGTTGAGCATTCTGACGTCACAATTCAGTACTGTGTTGTTATAATGTAGCATTGTAATGTCACCCTGGAGCATTGTGGTATCACAGTAGAGACCTCTGATGGTCCATTGGGACATTATGATGTCACATTGAGAACTGTGATATCACAATGGAGCATTCTAGTATCACAATGTACCTTTAGTAAGAGTGGAAAGGAGAGAAGGTCCTCAGAAGGAAGAAGACATAGTTAACAGGACTGAATGGTGACAGGCTGTCAAGGACATGTGTTGGTTTCAATGACATAGAGGATGCCACCTCAGAGAAAACATTGGAATTTGGGGAGTAGAAGTCACATTAGAGAAGATGAAGCTGGCCCGTGAGATTGCTCAGTAGGTCAAAGCACTTGCTTGCTGTGAAAGTGTGGTAAACCAAGGTGGATACTGGAATCCACGTGAATAAAAGTGGAGAGAGAGAATGAAGGTGTCCTCTGACCTCCACACACTCACCGTGGCACATGTGTTCTCTCTCTCTCTCTCAGTCTCTCTCTCTCTCTTTCTCATACACATACACATGAGAGAGAGATCATATGTGCACATTACACAAATACCATAGTGATAAATACAAATCTTAAATTAAGAAATAAGCAGTAAATCTAATGAAAAAGAAAGAGCAGATAAAGTTGATTGTTAGTGTCAAGTGGAAATCACGATGTGATAGGGTGGCCAGGGAATGATTGGTCTGTGATGGCGATAACCTAAGGGCAGTCTGCGTGTGGACGGATGGGCAAACGTGTGGCCTGGAGATGACAAGCTTTCTTTACTCGCCACTTGGCAGTTCTAAACAAAGCCTGCAAATTGTGTGGGTATAGAACTCCCCTTTGGTGGCTTTAAATTCCACTGTGTCTTAATAACACACATGTAATCAATTTAGCACATTTGTATTCCTTTACTAAGCCGTGTGTTCCACATGGGAACTACCTCCGAGGACTCACAGTGATGGGGTAGGTATCCACGGCAGCAGAGTCTCACACATCTCAGGGCCAGGGGTTGCTCACAAACTCTCAGGGTGCGGCTCAAGTCTCCAGCCCTGGGGAGAGGCTCCTGACACCAGGTTCTCCATAAGGAGCTTTTGCTGTTAATGCTGTGGAGGGGAGACGTTTCTTCAGTGGTGTATCTACCAGCAAGACGCCCGTGTTCCTGTGTGCAACCATGATGGAACTCAGTGGCTCAGAAACGAGACAAAAAGACCTGAAAGTAGAAGAGGGACTAGATGGGAAGAGGAGGGGATCAGCAGCAGTGGGGGGGGGGACAACAGAGGGAAATGAGGCGCACATGATCAAAATGCATTGTGTACGCCAACTCATCACAATGAAACCCATTATTATGTATAATCCATACATGATAATTAAAAGGAGTGGGGGAAACTCTAGCTCTCATTTCCAGCATATTCCTGCATTCAGCCAGACTCATAAACCATGGCAGAGGATGGGTCAGAGGAAAAGTGGAAATGCTTTCCTGATTGCACCCTCCTGTGTGGCCGAGGAGGCAATGCAGGTCCGGATGCAACATTTCTTTGTTTTGTAATGCAGGTTTTAGTTCATTCATGGAGTATAGGAAAGATAAAGTGCAGGGTGACATAACTGTAATCCTGTCACTTTGGAGGTTGAGGCAGAGTCACTAAAAATTCAAGGCCAGCTTACACTACATAGCAAACCATATCACAAAAGGAAGGAGGGAGGGAGGGAAGGAGGGAGGGAAGGAAGGGAAGGGAGGGAAGGGAAGGGAGGGAAGGGAAGGGAGGGAAGGGAAGGGAGGGAAGGGAGGGAGGGAAGGGAGGGAATAAGATACATTAGTAGTACATTCCAGTTTTATTCTGTGTCAAGGATAAAACTCCGACCAAAAGCAACTTGGGTCAGGAAAGGGTTATTTCATTTCCTCTTCTAGGTCACAGTCCACTATTGAGGGGAATCAGGCCGGGAACCCAAAGGCAGGCCTGCTTGCTATTCCGGGCAGCCCAAAGATCTCCCTCAGAGCCAGTGGAGCACAGCAGGTGCTGCGGGGGCTGCTGCTTGCTAGCTCACTCACAGGCTCATGCTTGTTTACCGTTACACAGTTCAGGATCACCTGCCCAGGGAATGGTTCGCCCACAGTGGGCTACGCCCTCCTACCCCGATTAACCGTCAAGACAATCCCCCACAAATGTGTCCACAGGCAGTCGCTCAGCTGAGATACTCTGGTGATCCTAAGCTGTTTCAAACTGAGAGTCAAAGCTAACTAGCACATGGTATAATGTAATAATAACTGAAATTCCTGTGTGTCTGTGTGCATCTGTCTGTATGTGTATGTATAAAAATGTGTGTGTATAAAAATGTGCATGTGGCCGGGCGGTGGTGGCGCACGCCTTTAATCCCAGCACTTGGGAGGCAGAGGCAGGCGGATCTCTGTGAGTTCGAGGCCGGGCTGGACCGATAGCCTCCGAAACAATACAGAGAAACCCTGTCTGGTAAAAACCAAAAAAAAAAAAAAAAAAGTGCATGTGTGCATGTGTCTGTCTCTGTGTGTGTATAAAAATGTGTGTGCACGCGCACCTGTGTGTGTGCACACGTGTCTCTGAGTATAAAAATGTGTGTGTCTGTATGTTGCAGACAATTATTAAGCTATGTGCATGAGTGTGTGAAGTCAACAGTTACAATCTGAGGATGCTTCATGGCTGGCTCTTTTGCCAGTGCCGAGCCTGCCTCATCTGAACCCTTCCATTTGATGAGGATGACTCACTTCCCACTGCTGTCTGTGGTACACAGTCCCCCTTTAGCATCAGGACTTATGGCAAAACCTCCTGGCCTGTCAGTAGAACCCTTTTCTTCTCAGATTTGCTGTCACCAGGCTCTCTGTAGACAAACGTCTCTTCCTTTACCATCTTTTTGAGAACTAACTCCGGACAGTTTGAACATCCTTCAGGCTCCCAGTGCCAGCGTCTGTAACCCCTCCCACTCCAGGACCCTGCCTTCCTGAGGTCACTAAACTTCTGTCCAGTGCTTTTTCTGACACCAATTCTTGAGAATTATCTCTAGATTTGTTACTTCTCATTTGCCCACCCCCTTTTTTTTGGTAACACAGTTTTAGGGTAGTTTTTTTTTAAGTCACAGATTTTTAAAAACTCACTGCTCATGTGCTGCAGGCTGCAGGTGCCTTTTCAAACAGTGTGCCTCAGCTCCTAATTGCTGGGATCCTGGTGGTACCTTTTCCAGATGTGCCACTGCATTACATCTGCTTACAAGTTACTGCAGAATCCCAGCAAACCTATGTGATATGGTGCAGCAACCAAATTAACTAATTAAAACATTAAGTAATCCAGGAGGTGGTTAATCCCAGCACTCAGGAGGCAGAGGCAGGCAGATTTCTGTGAGTTCAAAACCAGCCTGGTCTACAGAGCGAGTTCCAGGACAGACTACACAGAGAAATCCTGTCTTGAAGAACAAACAAGAACATTAAGTTCTTTAAAACGCATTTAAAGTTCACAAAGGGATTAGTTGTATAGTCTTATACTATAATACTTACTTTATTTTTTTACTAGCATGATTATATATTTTAAAAGTTCAACAACCAGCAAGGCGACTCAACAGCTAAAAGTATCTGTCACCAAGCCTGATGACATAAATTTAGTCCTTGAAACCATTATGGTAGAAGTAGATAATTGATTCCCTAAATTTTCCTCTGACCTGCACATATGCACAAATGTATATGTGTATTCTTATATGTTCACATGTATGCATACAAAATAAATAAATCAATGAAAAAAATCTAACAGTTTAAATAAATAGAAACCTTTTCTCAAAGACACAAATTACAAAAACTAATAGAAAAGAAATAGAAAACTTGAATAGCTGTTTATCAAAAAATTAAATTTGTAATTAATTTGAAGCTTCCTCATGATATCCAGGACAAGCAGGCTCACTTCTGAATTCTGTCAAACTTCAAGGACAAATTAGTAGCAATTCTTCATGGATTCAGAGAGTGGAGAAAAGGCACTTCAACTCATCTTACTCTGACACCAAAACAAGACAAAGACTTTATAAGACAAGAAAATTAAAGGCACAGGGAGTGTAAACTATCTTAACAATTTAGCAAGCATTTCAGAGATGCAGCCTAATTGATTTATCTTAAAACATTTATTTATGTGTGTGTGTGTGTGTGTGTGTGTGTGTGTGTGAGCACATGCCACTTGTGTTTGTGTGCCCATGGAGACCAGAAGGGGGCATCAGATCCCCTGCAGTTAGAGTTACAGAAGGTTGTGAGCTGCCTGATGGGGATGCTGAGAAAGTGAACTCAGATCCTCTGTAAGGACAACACCATCAAGCCATCCATCCCTCCAACCCAAATGCAACTTGATTAAAAATAAGTGAACAGTTGAACAGATGCTTCACAGAAGAATCAAGCAGGGTCGATGAGATAACTTAGCAGGTAAAGACAGACACTTGCTGCTAAGCCCAATGACCTTGGTTTCATCCTCTGAACCCACATAAAGGAAGGAGAGAATTGACTCAAGTGTCCTCTGACACATGGGTACATGCATGTCCCCTCCCCAATTAAATAGATACAAGTAAACTGTCAAAAGAATTAAACAAATAGTGCATGGTTTCTGAAAGACATCCAATGTTACCCAAGGAAGTGTAAATTTAAGTCACAAACACTACTGTACCCACAGAGTGACTAGCATGAAAGCATTTAGCCAATAGTGAGTGTGGAGTACCTGGGATTCTCATCCATTGCTGGTGGGGATGTAAAATTACCCTGGAAAAAAAATTACCCTGATAAACAACTTGGCAGTTTTTCAAAGCATTTCACATGCACTCACCTTGTGACTTATTTAGTCCTCCTCCTTGGCATCTCCTCAAGAGGAAGGAAAGCATGTCCGCACAGAGTCCCATATATAGATATTCAGCCACAATAGCCTCAAAATGGGAACAAATCACATGTCCATCACGAGGGGAGGGGTAAACAAGTCATAAGATGACATAGCATTTCAGTCCTACTCAGCCATTAAAACACACTGCTGACACCCACACCTGTGTGGTCAAGCTCACCATGGTGCCTGGTGAGAGACGGGAAGCTAGCTAATCTGAACTTCCTAAAGACAACCAAGTCATTCGTGTGAAAGATGTGGGAAGAGGATTAAGCAACAGCGGGACAAGGGACAGGACCAGTGAGGTCACACAAAGGACATACGGGGTAAAAATTAGCCCAGTGCTTTAAGAGTGTGTCACTGGGAGAGGGTGGTGCATTGTGAAGAGACTTTGGAGACAAAGGTGGAGATCTGCTATGCTCGCTGGGCCACACTCGATTCTCTCTTCTTCTTGAACTATCCTTTTTTTTCATGGGATCCCATCTCCCACCCATTCTGTGTCCTCTGTCTGAGAGCCCAAGCATGTCTCAGCCCTGGGCATCCAGCCACTTGCTCTACTGTACGGTAAAGGCGCATAGTTTCTAGAGTAGTCACATGACCCAGGTCTGGCCTGTCCATGTGCTCCGGTCCTTGGAGACAGAGATCATTCCAGAATGGGACTGTGGCCCTTTCTTCCACTGGGTTTCAGTAGCCAGGTGTGAGATTGGAGCTGCCAGGAGCCGGTGTGGAGGGAGGGCTTGTCTCAGAGTGACAAACCAGACACAGGACAAGCTGGGAAGTAAAGAGGGCCAGGCCCTTGGGACATCATGGAAACCCTGGACTTTGTGTACACCTGATCAAATGAAACCCCTGGACTTTGTGTACGCCTGAGCAAAGGTTTATTTAGGCCGCTTACAACAGGAAGGGACGTGGAGAGAGTGATGTGGTACATTCTGGACACCTAGAACTGAGGCCCTGTAGAATGCCCAAGGACCAGAGGCCTGGAGGGAACGGATTAAACAGACATGGAGGACAGTGCAAAGGGCCGAGGTCAGAGCCCTGGGAAAAGGTTGAGGTACAGCTCTAGGAGTTGGAAACGAGAAAGCGAGAAAGGTCCCCGGGGAGAATGCACAGGCACCTTTGGAAAGGGCAGGGGTGACTGCTCCACCCACCCTGACGTCAGGTTGTGCAAGATCAGGCAGGATGAGGAAAATAGGCCATAGGTCACCTGCTCCCTGAAGGTTCTGGGAGCCCTGGCCAGAAGCCAGCCTGGTTTTGAAATGGGTTCCAAAGGTCACGCTGGGGAGACAGGCAGGTCCCTGCCTCCAAAATTTGACTCTAAGAAAAAGGGGTGGTTTGCTTTGGTTTCCTATTAGGTGTTTTTAAAACAGCAGGGAGCTAGGCAGGCTTGTAGTAAGGGGTGGGGGCGGGGAGAAGGGGGAAGTAAGGAGAAAAGGAAAGGGAGAGGGAGAGAGAGGGGTGGGGGAGAAACACACTCGGACAGAGAGATTGGGGTAAACTCTAGGCGCTGTGCTGGAGTCCTGCTGTAGCTGGGACCTGCCTGTGTCCCCTGCATTGGCTCCTGTGCTCCGTGGTCACCATTTGTGGTCTCCATTTGTTAGGTGGTCGCTCCAGCATTTAGTGGGGAGGAGTGGGAACCTGGAGGTCTCAAAAGGAAGCAGCGCTGTGAGCTCCATTATGGGGCAGACTGTGCCCCAGACCTTGGGCCTCCTCAGCTGAGGCAGGTATAGGAAGTGGAGGCTGGTGAGGGGCTGGGGTGGGTGTCTTTGGAAGGTCACTGACTTTGCGCTCTATAAAAGTCAAAGGGCCAGGAGGAAGGCTGGACTGCAGGTCAGGCGAGAGCTGGAAACCACAATGAATTTGCGGTGCCCCCCCCCTTGAGCAGCTTTGCCTGAACCCCCTTTATCAAGGTCACCTGTGGGTACTAAAACCTTTCAGGAGCCTCATTTTAAGAGAAGAAAAACTAAATTAAAGTTTTTAAATTTTTAATTAAATTAATTACAAAAGACTGTCTCCAATAGCGTACACAATGGACATTGAAAGAACACCCTCCCCACTCTTCTCCCCCTCTTATCGGTCTCCTTTGTTCCCTAGACATTTTTATTTTACTTCCATGCCATCTGCACACATGGGTTCAGGTCACATAAAGGTGGAAGCAGAGATTAAACCCCATATGCTTTTCCTCTGACCTCCACACCAACAACGTGTAACTACACACACACACACACATGTACACACACACACATGCACACACTCACACACATACACACACACATACACACACACTCACACAGACACACATGCACACATATTCACACACACACATGCACACACGCATACACACACTCACACACATGCACACACTCACACAGACACACACATGCACACATACTCACATACACATGCACACACTCACACGCATACACACACACTCACACACATGCACACACACTCACACAGACACACACATGCACACACACTCACACACACACATGCACACACACTCACACAGACACACACACGCGCACACACACGCACACACACACATTTACCTCTTGAGACCGACTGGATTCACTTCACCGGAGTCTCTCCCTTTGCGCCATTTCCCTGCAAATGAGCAAACTTCATACATCTTTGTGCCTTAAAAGAGCAGCCCTGTATCTAGCTCTCACTTTCTTGTTCCAGAACTTAGCCATTGTTTCCAGACAAGTCTTGCTATGAAGCTCAGGTTGGCTTTCAGAGTCAAGATCCTCCTGCCTCAGCTTCCTGAGATGACAGGGGTGCACCACCAGGCCTTGCAGGAAATTAATTTTTATGATACATTTAACAGGACATATACAAACAGGATCATGTGTTGTGAAATCGATGTATAGACTATCAATGGGCTGGTTTACATTCTCATTTTGTACCAAATCTTCAAAGGTTGTCACGCCGGGCACATTCCAGTGCCCGTGAGAACTAGTGGCAGCCACAGTGACGTTGTGGTCTGGTTGGTGCCTCTTACTGAAACGGTTCCATAGAAGTGTAAAGAAAACCTTTTCCCCCTTTTGTGTATGTGCATGTGAAAGACTGACCGAGTCTCACATAGCCCAGTACGCCCTTGAACACATCATGTAGCCTAGGCTGGCTTTGAACTCTTTATTCTCCTGCCTCATCCTCTTGCATGCTGGGGTTATAGGTGACTACCACCTCTCCTAGCCTATTGGAGCTGTTTTGCTTGGTTTTGAGACAGGGTAGCCCTGGCTGGGGCTGAACTCCTGGTTCTTCTGTTTCAGCCTCCTGAGAGCTGAGCCTATAGGTATGAGATACACCACACCTGGATGTATAAGAGGTTTTTTCGGGCATCTGGATTCAGGACTTTGAGGGAATGTATGGGGTGGGGCTTGACATGGGGAACCTGGCCCAGGAGACTCCCTTGCTCTCCTTGGCCAGTTCTTCCTTACCTGTCTCTTGTCCAGTGGAGAGAAGCCAGCCCGTGGCCCAAGACTGGTCCTGTGTGGCTTCTCCGTGTAGATTACTCTGTGAAGATTCTAAACATGCGCTGTGCTCTCAAGGCTAGAGGCCCAGGGCCCCTGGGAGTGGTGCTGAAGAGAAGAGCAGGACATCTTTCCCGGGGCCTGAGAGAGCTGAAGCAGCCAAGGCAGTAGTGGATCGAGAACATCTCTGCCCCAGACCTCTTTCCTGAGATGTGCGCCTATGTACAGCCTTGACCTTGGGGAAGCTTCTTGATGGGGCCAAGGTCAGATGTTCTGAGATACTCAACCTCAGGCTGGGAAAATGACAGGTCTGCTTAGTTCTGGATCTCTACAGAAGCTGGAGGTTAAGGGTTGGGTAAGGGACCATGGAGGCAGAGGACAGATTCCCTGGGAGGATGTGAGGGTCACGGACTCCACACTGCCAGGAAGTCCTGGCATCAGAAAAGAAGGGGCAGGGTGGCACACAGACATCTCCTGGCATCCTACTCGCCCTGGGCCAGCCAGGTCTGCCAGCATTAATCTGTATTCTCAAAGGGACCTGGTGCTGTCCTGTCTCCTTTGAAGGCCTCCCGCTCACCTTCCAGAGAAAGCTCAATCTGAGAGTGTTTCTTGGTGCTTTCTGGTTCCATTGGAGACAGACCTTTGTGGGTCAGAAGAGGCCAGAGGGCCCCATGCTGTTTGAGCCCTATGAGCCTGGATGTGTTTGCTAAACACTAGCAAGATTAAGCAACTCCGCAAACAGAACCAAGGCCCTGGCCAGCTGCCCAGGGTGGTTATAGTCCTGGGCATGGAGGCAGGAGAAGTACACGTGGACACACACACACACACACACACACACACACACACACACACACACACACACACGGAGAGCAGGCAGCAGGCAGGAGAGGTTGGCTGGAGGCCTCAGTGGTCACCTTTGCCTGGCTGTCTAGATGCCTCAAACTAAGCACTAGGAGGTGAAAACTTTAGCCAGTTTATGTCAGAAGACAGCATCCATTCTGGCCACACATGCTGAGGTTGTAGGAGAAAGAAGGCATCCAATTCCATCGGTGCGTCGCAGCCCTTATTTTGAACATAAGTTGATCCAGGAATCATAGCAGTGGAGCTCACACAGATGCTGAGAGAATGCCTCTGGCTTTTAGTATTTTAATACAATAGTTTATAAGGCTTTTAATTTTTTAAAAAAATGTTGTGTGTATGGCTGCTTTACCTGCATATATGTATATAATCATATATGTGCAGTGCCCACATGGTATTGGATCCCCTGGTGCTAGAATCATAGACAGGTGTGAGCTGCCATGTGGGTGCTGGGAACAGAACCTGAGTCCCCTGGAAAAAGCAGACAGTACTGTTAACCACTGAGCCTCCTTTCCAGTCTCTTGGGTTTTTGTTTTGTTTTGTTTTAGCACACACACAAAAAAATCTCTAAACAGAGTGACTCATTCTTTGTAAACTGCCTTCCAAAAGTGGTCAATCCCATCCTAAGCCAAAGTGATAGGTAGACTTAGTCCTAATTTGTATCTTTCCACTTTAGCTTGGTGAACATTTTAATTGCCGGGGTTAAATTCCCTTTGATTTTCTCTTTGTCTTGAAGATGAAACATCTCTCTAGAAGATGAAGTGTGATATCGGGAGAGAGAACGGAAGTTGGCTACATTGAGATCTTTTGTTACAAGCTATCTCTTGCCATCTGTGTTTGTTTTTGTTTATGGTTGCTTTATCCTTTTCCTCCCTCCCACTCCTGTCCTCCAGTTGTCAAAGTTTCCCCTCCCTGGTCTTCTGTGTATTTTTCCAGATACATGCACATGTACACATGTACAAGTACATGTGTTTCAGCAAATACATGCATATCTATACATTCTCCACCCTTCTTATTTTCATGACAAAAACTTAGCTTACTTCTCCCTTGCATTTTCATTAGTGATAGGTCTTAGAAATCACTCTAATCCACACATAAATCATGTTCTGTTTTTCTTGGATCACGGTAGGGTTTCCATTGCATGTATTTACTTTACCAGTGCCCTACTGGTGGCCACTCAGATTTTTTTCCAGTCTTCTTGTTATTGCAAACAATGCTGTGGTGGCGAAGTACCTTGCACGGGCCTGATTGTACAACCTTTGCCCAGAGTCCTAAAAGGGGATTTGCTCTATTTTTACCCTCTGCAGTCTTACAAATGTTGCCAAGTTACTTTCCACAGAGTTTTTAACAATTTACATGGCCACCAATAAGAAGGGCAATGTCTTCCTCACACCTTTCCCAAGGTCGTATGTTAGTCTTTTTTTAATGCGTGCCAGCCAGGGAGAAATGAGAATCTAAGTGTAGTTTGCTATGGCTCCTATGTGGGTTGTTTCCCAGGTGTTCGTGTGTTGGAGGCCTGGTCTTCAAGGTGACGGTGGTGAGGGGTGGAACCCTTAAGGCCTAAGGAGAGGCTCTTATTTTGAGGTATACCTCCAGGAGGGATTAACATAGTTCCTGTTGCCACCACTGACTTAGGCATTGCAAGTGCAAATTGTAGTGGTAGTAGGTGTGGTGATACACATCTGCAGTCCCAGCACTAGGAGAGCTGAGGCAGGGGGATCACGGATTTGAAGACAGCCTGTGTGTAACATGACTTTTTGTGGAAAGATGAGAACAAATGTCTGTTTACCACAGATTAGAGCACACCAAAGAAACAATTTCACCCAAGTCCAGCTTAGTGCACCAGTGAGTTTACTGGGATGATTTACAGGTGCATGCATGAGGGTTACTTACAGAAGCATGGATGACTCAGAAGCGGATGCATCATCACCAAAAAGCCCACCCCGGCGTTTAAAGGTTGCATCACTGGACCACTTGAGAGTAGCTCACCTGGTTGAAGAGTCTCCTCCCCAGAGCAATTGTTACTGCTTGTAGAACCTAGTGTGGTGGGGGTGTATTAAGTCTTGTAAGTTTCAGGAGGTTCCTAGAGCTTGTGAGTTGTATTTACTTTCTAAACCTTAATGAGCCTTCCCTCCAGAAGAGAATGTTTCAGTTAGGTGGAAATAGCCACACAACATTCCACATCTTCCTCTGACTCACATTTTTGTGCTCCTATCTGCAATGCTCTTTGAGCGTCCCAGAGGCTTGATTCTTTCCCAGTGGGCCACTGTGCCACAGCCAAAGTCATTCAGTCTCTTGATCACTGTGGTTTGAATGAGAAATGTCCCTTGTAGGCTCATGTACATGAATACTTGGTCCCACGAGGCAGCATTATTTGGGGAGGTAAGGGAACCTGGAGGTGGTGGAGCCTTGATGGAGGAAGTATGTTTACTGGGTTGGGCTTTGAGGGGTTTATAGCCTAACCCTCCTTCCTGTTCTATATCTCTGCTTCCTCTATGTAGATAAAATGTGATCTCAGCTTCCTGCTCCCACCCCTAGCCTCCATGCTACCCCAGCTATGATGGATCTTATGAACTCTCCCTCTGAAACCATGTTAGGATGAGGTATTTAAGTTTAATTGAGCATGTTAGTTAGGTGAGCCAAAGGGGGTTTCTGATTGCTGGATTTTGGTAATCAAACTCAGGAAGAAGAAATGGCCAAATAAGGGAATAGACATTGAGGGCCAAATAAGGGAATAGACCTTGTGGGCTAGCTTCAGGAATGTAATCTAATGGTTCTTAGCTAGGCAGAAGGAATTGGGAAGAAGGACAAGATCTGCCAGAGCCACATGCTCCAGTGGGCTAGTGTCCCCTCATCCATAACCTTCATGGCATTATTGCACGGATATGCACATCTTTCCTGGCTGGTCAATACTGTAGTATTCTGGATTGGCTGTTGGGGACACCATTGTTGGGGCCCATACAAATGGGTCTGCTTCATCTTGCCTCAAGGTCAGAGAGTTCAAAACTGTCCTTAATAAGTCAAAAGACCTAAAGGTCTAAGGCTTGGCTACTGCAGTATGTTTGGGCCTCAGTAGCAGATGTCTTGTCTAAATAACAACAGACTTGGGCTCAGGTGTGTTCAGTCTTGACCCTGAAGGCAGGATAACAGGTGTGGCTACCAAGTGCCTGGAGGATTGAGGGAAGTCTGTTTGCTCCTTAGACATAATAATAGAGGTCTTCTGCCTTGTCCCCCCTTTGGGTTGGGATACTTAAGAATGTTGAAGAATAAACTAGGGGCATTCGGTGTTCACTGGGTTGCCCTCCTGACTCTATCCTGTGTCTCTTTCTCTTAATGTCTTTACCTACCCTTTCTCAATCCACACTCCCCCCCTCAGGTATGAACTGGGCAAGACAGTAGCCCCACAAAGACAGCTTCCCACAGATGACGCAGCAATGTGGGGCCACTACAGAGGGCGACCACACACCATTGATGTCTTTTCTCTTCAAGGAGCTGGAATAGCTGGCCAGTAGGGAAAAACTTAAAGTCAATTCCAATTTGATTTCTCTATGGCCTACAAAGAATGTGGTGTCTTCAGCAATAGGGTTCTACTATCTAGTTGTGGTGGGCCACCAAGAGCAGTGGCAAAAGCCTGGGTTGTTGTTGGTGCTTCTGGGGCCTCCCTGACCAGTAATTGCTAGGGAGCTATCCCAAACCTGGTACTGATATTTTCAATTAAGAACCCATGTCTTGGGAATCATTGTTCCTCTATGCAGGAACTCTGTATTGAAACTCCAACTATTTTTACATTGCATTTTAATTAGTTTACAAAGTATGGATTTCTATAGAGGTTTTTTCATATATCCTTAGTTTTGGTTAACTTACCTTCACTCTCTCCTCTCCCTTGCACCCCTGCTTAAACCAACTCCTAGGATTTCACCCCACACCCCTGCTATCTTTGTATCATATGTGTTCTACTCTCCTTTATCCCCTTAAGACCTCTTTCCCTCTCTCTCTTATGGGCCCTTTTTTGGTTTCTGGGCTCCCAGTTACTCCAAATTAACACAAAAATTGAAAAATTCAAGATAGGATCCACATATGAGGGAGAGCATGCGGCATTTGCCTTTCTGGGCCCAGGTGGCTTCACCTAGTGTAATATTTTCCAGTTCTATCTAGTTCCCTATAGATTTTGTTTTCCTTCATAGATGACTAAAAGTCCCTTGTGTTTATTTCCATTATCCATTCATTGGCTGTCAGACATCTAGGCTAACTCAGTTTCCTAGCTATTGTGAGTACAGCAGTAATGAACATGGATGAGTAAATCTCTCCCTAGGAAGACTGGAATCTTTTGGATACATGCCCTGGAGTATCATGGCTGGGTCATATGGAAGTTCTATTTTTAGCTTTTTGAGAAACTTCCAAGCTGTTTTCCACAGTGGTTGTACCAGCATTGTTGTCATTTCTTGATGATAGGTGTTCTGACTGGGGTGAGCTGGAATCACAAAGTGGTTTTAATTTGATTTCTCTGATGGCCAATGATGCTGAACACTTTCTGAAAAGATTTTTAACCTTCTATATTTATTTGGTTCAATTTCATGGCGTATTTTAAATTGTTTTTTCCCTT